GGTCCTTTCCAACCTAGTGATTCTGTGGTTCATCTCTCAACCACAAGTGCTGTGTTATTTTCTCTTAGCGTCTTCTATGGTTCAACTCCACACCTAGCTTCTCATCTCCTCTGATAGCTGTAGGTTCACCAGTTGCTTGGTATTAGTGATTAGTTCATTGCAGCTGCAGCAGAGGCTTATTTGATGCTCTGGGAAATTCTTGCTGCTTTCACTGGTGAGGAAGGCAATATATTTTTGGGGCCTAAATGAGTGTGAAAGGGCATATACAAACCTGCTAAATACGAATTCCAGCTTGTTTGTACTCTCAGTTGGTTACACCCTTGGCTCAGAACCCAAATATTTCAAGAATTTGGGTTGAGGTATATGCTTTCCCCAAAGAGGCATGAAGCTAGATTCCCTTTTGCATCAATAGGTACATTTTCTGTAAGGTCACCGAGTATTTGCTTGCAGCAGAAATGTCAATTCCTTCAAGGGATGTCTAGAGACTTTGGGAGGGGAGGCAATGCGTTGCTCTGGTAGGGGAACCTGGTGGCTGCTCCTTGCACAGCTGAGATGGCTTGGCTCTTATTTTGATTGGAATATGCTTGCTGTAAAGGAAATCCACCTTATTTTCATGTCCCTTTACAGGACCTGGGATGCTTTATAGTGCCACGCTTTGCTGTACTGAGGCCATTGGCGCTAAGCCTGCTTACCCCAGTGGCTGATTTTCTTTTTCCCTGAGGCCTTCAAAGCATGTACATACACCGAAGCAGAAGATTAGTTTCGCTAAGGAGGCTCACTTCAGATGCAAATGCTCTGCGGGCTGCTGCACAAATGAGGCCTACCTGATTTTTAATTTTTTAAAATTTTATTTATTTATTTTAATGCCCCACTGGAAACACTCTCTGCTTTGCTTTGCTTGCTCCACCTTTCCATGTTGATACGCTGCAGGTCTGGAGGTCAGGGTGCTGGGAACCCGTTTGGTAGCATTTACCAGTTGTCATAGTACTTTGCAGTGGGATCTGTCTAGATGGCTGGTAGGGCTATTATTATTCCCAGTACTATTCCTGGTATTACTTCCCTCTCATATTGAAGTAAGAGAGCATTTGCTGATGCCTCGAGGTGTCCCGACATATCCACACACCGGCTAATCAGCTGCCCGAGAAGGTGCACGAACATCTCGGGGCACAGTGCGTTGGGGTTCCTGGGTGGGATGCAGGCACTGTGGGCTGAGCACTCAATAACCCTCACGCATCCCTTTCCTTGCAGTTACCTGGCTGAGCAGTGCTGGAATGGCGGCTTTGTCTACCTGATCATGTTGCGCCGCATCAAGCGCAAAGCCCCTCTTCCTCCTTCCAACGGCAACAACAGCAACAGCTGTGACCCCAAAGCCAAGCCCAGCCACGAACCCAGCGACAGAGCTGTTCAAAATGGGAAAAGGACCAGGAAGTTTGGGGTCATCACCAGAACGCCAGGCAGCAAGGACAGCAAAGAAAAGCTGGGCTCAGAGCACGGGAACGGGCACTGTACCCCAATGGAGGTGGAGGTTGCTCAGCTAGAGACTTCCGAAGCAGAAAGCAATGGGGAAGAGCAACTTCAGTGCACCGGAGGACAGTACCGGCTGTCAGATGGTGGTGTGCCAGACATTGGTGACCAGTCTGCCCAGGTACGTTTGCACTGGGTTTTTCTAGAGAAGGAAGCAGCAGGCATGCAAGCAAATTAAAGGAATTTCCTAAGTGGTTTCCCTGGTTCCACTACTCAGGCTGAGAACTCTGGGTGACAACCCAAGCTGTTGGGGCACCAAGCCATGGGATGGGGTCCAAAATGGGGGGACAGGAGGATTAGAGAGTTAAATAATAACTGTGAGAAACCTCTCTCATGCTCTGTCTTTGATGGAGGTGAAGGTCCTTGTATCCCTGTCAGCGTTGGGCTCAGAATTTCTTCTCTTGAGACAACTGATGACCTTGTAACACCAGGACCAGAGGTGTCAGTGGACAGTGGTTGTTTTGTCCTTTGGGGCTTCATGTTTAGCTCTGTCTGGGCTTGATTGCATCTTAAAGCTCATGTTAACATTGCAATTGAAGCTTCTTTTTTTGATGCACCAGACCACGATGTATTTATTTCTGTTACAAAACTTGTTTGGCCAGTGTTTGGGGACCACATGGAAATTATTGTGAATTTTGCTTTGAGTTGATGAGATGGATGATTTGTTAATGTTTGGTACGACAGTGGGATTGGGGCTTTCATTGCTTCTCTCTTCATCCTAATTGAAATCTCGGCGTTTGTTGCTTGGCTAGAATTGCAGCATTGCTGGATGGAGAAAAATAACCCGAGCCTTGATCAGGTTTCAGTATGCATCTATCACCAGAAGAACTGTCTGCCAATCTTTCCAGAGACACTGATAATATAAACAGATGAATGCTGCTTTGTTGGGCTTGGGGCTTGCTGCAGCAGCTGGTTTTGGTTTTAAGACTTCGAAGCTGGTAACAGAGCAGTACGAGTGGACATCTCATCACTAAATTCTCAACTAAAATTGTTGAGGAAAGCATGGGTTTACACATGTCCTCTGAATTAGTGCTCCCCAATATTACTGCAGGGTGGTGGTAATGGTAGTTGTGAACTTAAACTAATTTAACTTAAAGTGCATATTGAAGGGGCTAAAAGCAATTTTAAAAAATGCTGGTCTTGAAGCATAATTGAGAAAACCTGCTCTTTGCATCAGTGAAACAGGTTGGATTTCATGGTGCAACAGGAAGGGGAGGATGTTTGTGTTGTTTTTGCAAGCCTTGTAATTGTAGTTTTTCTGAAAGAAAACATTAAAAGTTTAAAAATAAGTAAATAAATCCTTCAGTATTTTGAAAGCTCTGGTCCATATAAAAACTTCTTGAAACTGTTCTGAGGATGTCTAATTAAACACATGTTATAAATGAAGATGATCAGAGTTTTGTTTTGAGGAAGTGGAAAGCCAAAATACATATGTAAGAAAAAAGAACCTCTTGATCCAGAGCCATCTTGTGCTAGTGTTACCTTGATGTTTTGAGTCATTTTGGTCTCAATTGCTAAATTCAGAACATATATGTATCAATGTGAGCAATAAATAACTTTTCAATGCAAAGCACATACAAGGTGGCTTTGTAAAACGTAGAAGCATAGTTGAGTCACGGGAAATTTAAGACCTATAATCTGTTCAGTTGTGGTGTACCTGTCATGGAGCCTATTTGGAGGCAGAGTCATTTAGTAAGATCGCTTCTCTCTCTTTTAATTTTTTTTCTTCTTTAATATTTAGCTTGGAGATATGACCTCTGTGTGTGTCAGTATTAATTACATTTTCCTGGCGTCTGAACGAGGAGAAATGTGAACAGCTGGAGCCTGAATAGCATGCCTTGCTCATCCTTTGCTTTTTAAAGATGAGGGGGCCTTATAAAAGCCCATCACTTTAGCATCCATGGGGTAGCTGCTATCAGAGTAATGAGTGGCTTAAGTCGGTTTCTTAATGGGTATTGAATAGTGATAGTGAATAAAATTTTCAAAATTATTTGAGTCCTGCTCAAAAGTCATAATTTAAAAAAAAAAAAAAAGGCAAGGAATAAAGACACTTGGGAGCCTCAAATCTCACTTCCAGCTCCATTTTCAAAGTGTGACCTAGCACACAGGCATGTGAGATCCAGTCGTGTCGGGAGCCTTTTGAAAACAGCATCGAAGACATCGTGTCAGAAGTTGCAGCCTTCTTGCAGGCTTCAAAGCCTGAGCCAAACCTCTCATAGCCGTGCGATGAGCTGTCTCTTCCCGATCGGGGACAGGATGCATTGGCAGGGCACCCTCTCTGCAGGGAGAGCAGCTCCATTCCCGCTGCCCACCCCGTGCTTGCCGTCATCTCCACGCATTGAGTAATTGAATACGCAGGGTTGTCAGCCCTGTCCCTCCGGGGAGCACTATATCCACTTTGAGAGGACAAGAGCCAGCCTGCGGTGGGTTGGAGGTTGGCTGCGGGTGGGAGGAAAGAGAAGCAGCTTTGAGAAGCCGGACCTCTCCACTGCCCTGGTCTTCCCCATTGCTCCTTCCCCCTCTCCTGCCGCAGGACGCAGGTTGGAGAATTACTGGAGTTGGAACATGGAGTTCAGCAACATCTCTTTTTCTCGCTGTAGAAAGTTAGTTTGAAGTTGTTGTAACGAAAACAGGGGAGAAGAGCTTGGGTCGAATCTGCGTGTCTTTAGCAGCTACAGTACTGAACCCAGCGACCAGCACATGGACGCTGCCTCAGGGATGTTGTGCCAGGAGTGCTTTTGAGGCATCCACATGTCTTGGGTGTTGTTTGCTTTCAGGGTACTTCCTCTCCCACGAGCATGGGGTTGTTCTCCCATTTTCTCATTGCGTGCTGCTAACAGCAGCAATGCTGAGTCGTGAAATGAGAGGTGAGATGAATACTGTTTGTCAAGTGAACCTGCCAGGAGATTCCTGTGTTACTGGTTTGTGTGCATGTTTCAGTCCCCTTCAGGCTTGCTTTCATCTCCCAGATCTTGGTCTGTCTCTCCTGTGCACTTGGCATTGCTATTGCTATGTATAAACAAGTCTGCCAGGCTGTTTGCTGGTATATAACCCTCAGTAAATATTGTACCTGTCAATTAGAGGCAGTATTTAATGTCTACAGGCGGTTAAGTTATGCTGCAATATTTTTAGGATGAACCTAAATGCCCTTCAGAATGTGAAGATTCAAAGCAGTAAGGCTATATCTGCCTGACAGGAAGATCTCGAAGGTCTGGAAACCAGACCTGACCTTAGAGAGGACCCAGGCCGGCTGCAGTGGGAGTTGTGGGCAGTGATTTAAGACCAGGCAATCTCTGTGCTGGAGTAATGATCCATCACATCCTGGGAAGATCTGGGAGCGTAAATGCAGAAATCAAAGTTTACTTCTATCCAGTGGCCTGAGACAGGGCTGTGTTTTCTAGGCTGGTAATTATAAATGCAAGGATGAAAGAGGAATATGGGGAGGAGTGTTGGAGTCAGCTGAGAAATTACAACAAAAAGGAAACTGTAAGGTTTCCTCACAGTGTAAGAATTTTGTGGTTTCACTGTGTTTAACGGTAGGACAGAATCCCTCGGTTTTGTTCTCAGTTTCTCTATCACGATATTTTTGGAAGAACTGTGGACCGCTTCCTTAGCTGTTCAGCCTCTGAGGAGTGCCCAGAGGTGGCCAGGTACAGCTGGCACAGGCAGGGATCAGAGGTAGGACTGAGGGTTGCAAGAACCAGGGTTGCGAGTGTGAGGGGTGGGAGTGTAGTTTTCACAGGGGACTTGAACTGATGCAGGTCTGGCTGATATGACGAGAGGCTTTCATTGATGAAGCCATAAGAAGCTTGGCTGGAGATGAAATGTGACCTGGCCACAGGTGGTGGACTGGCCATCTTGACTTTTTCCGGCCTCAGCATGTTGCTCTGAGAAGTCCTTAAAACACCAACCATTAAAAGAAAAAACAAAACACCTCCGGAACCCCCTTGAATTCTCTTGCTTCTGTAGAAGCATCTGGATTAGTAGGGATGGAAATCCAGATCCAAATTTCGCAGTCACCAGTAGCAACTGGGTAAAGGAGATTGGGCAGAGTAAAAGTGCTTTAACAGCAAAGGGAGGCAGGTGAGAGGGGCTGGCGCTCTGCCTTTGGGCATTTCTCCACTGGGAGAAACAAAAGGCATGGGAGGAGTGCAGGGTGTGCACCAGCTCTCCCAGGCTGGTCATAGCACCAGGGCTGTGGTGGGATGCCTTTCCAGGATGGAAACAAGTCAGCGTCTGGTGGCCCTGTAAGGTGTGTCTGGTGTTTTTGTGAAGTCGTCTTACCATCTGTTAAAAAAGGGAGGGGGTAAGGCAAGGGAATATTAATGCCTTGCCTCACTAAGGTTTTTGGGGGATGTCTGGATTATAGTAGTGCTTCAAGATCTTGGCTCCATGTTGTTAACCCCAGTGACTCTGCAGTGGGTTGCAGATGCCAGAGCAGTGTATCTAGCCAACTTTACTCCCTTATAGACCAGCTGAGCCCAGCTTACGTAGACCACAACCCTCTCCAGACTCATGAATGTGTACACAGGTGCACATGGACGTGTGCGTATGTAAAAGACCAGTTGGGTCTTTGCCAGCCAGCAAGTTGCTTTTGTATCGCTGCCACTGCACCATGCTTGGTATTGTTTTATCAGCAACTGTCGTCTTTGTTTGGGCCCGTTATTGCTTTCTTACTAAGATGGCTTGTCTCAGGAAAGGCTGAATGCTTTTGGATTGCACTTTGCTTTGTAGTTAGGAAAGGCTGACAGCCTTTCTATAGCAATACTTACCAAATAGCATTGGTAAATGCCAGCCTTACCTTGCGTTTTGGTTAATGGATAATGTTCCTTATCTTGCCAAGCAGAAGGGGAAGGCTAATGGCATGTTACAGGAATCAAAACATCAGACTTGAAATAATGCACTGGTTTTAAGCATTTTACTATTTTTTTAAACATGATGGAGAAAAAAAATTCTTATCCATTTGCTATACCAAAATGAAAACCTTGCTGTGAGCAAGGTACTTACAAGGGTAAATACTTACAGCTCCACTGAAGCTACTGAAGTTATGTCGCTTTACATCAACTTCTTTTGGCGACCTAAGCAGTAATTATTGTTTCATCAAGGCTTTTATGTGTCTCC